CCCTTTTTTTTCCCCGTTTTTTTTTTTTTTTTTTTTTTTTTTTTTTTTTTTTTCCTCCTACGAGATTAACGCTTGTAGTGCATAAGTGCTCGTTTGCTGTTTCTCAAGGCCCTGCTTAGGGTAGTTTCCTTCCTGATACTATAGCGCACGTGGCTGGGGAGCCTGAACAAACGTAGTGGCGCCGCGTTAGGGAGCGTGTTGTCCTGTTGCCCAAAAAATCCAGAAATATCTGCAGCCTTTTACACTAGCATGCACTTGTGGCAGGCTTAGGAATCCGTTCTGGATGATTCAGAGACAAGGCACTATTTTTAATGTCATTCTAAAACTTCACTTCCGATATTGTAATGGAAATGTTTGTTTTCTAGGGTAGAAGTGTCTGTAGCTTTGGTGGCTTTAGCTGACCCTCAGGAGGGGAAGCTGATTCGATCTCAGGCAAAAGTGAGTGAGTAATAGACTTTCCAGGACTGTTTACTGAATTGTTTGAAAAGATCCTATAAATATGTAGTTGAGGCTATTCTAATAGTATACCAGAACAGTTTCTTTATTTCACATTTTTGTGAGCTGAACTGCAGTGCATGTTCACCAACTCCCCTTCTTACTGCCCAGCAAGCCGTAGCCCAAACACCAGCCACCTTCGGCTATGGAGATGTCCCCTCCAGTGGGTGACAGAGACCCTGGTGTTGCGGCCTGCACCGGAGCGCAGGCTCCAGGGGCCTCTTGGTTGCCGGCTCTCCTTGCTTCCTCTGTGTTAACACGAGCAAGGTGTGTGTGTGTGACTCGCTTTCCCAATCTAGCTAGACTGGTTCATTGTGCGAGCTCATCACACAAACCTAGTAATGATGTGACACAGTTTCAAGCAGGGAAGGAATGAAGCCTGTACTTTAATACAGTAAAGAGGAAAAAAAAAACCTATAGGCTTGTTTTTTTTTAAATAAGCTTCTCACAGACCCATAGGGTGCTTTGTATACACCAACTACTGGCACAAGAGATAGTGCTAATGCTATAAAGGAAAATAGTGGCCGAAGAAAGCAAGACATTAAGGTGTATTTCTGTTGATCAGTACAGCATGGTAAACATAGTGTGTAGTTGGGCAAGTCATTACTGGAAGAAAAGTGTAGGACAATTGTGTGGATTTGCCCCAAAGCTTGATGCATGTAACTTAATTGGTGCTGCTGTAACCATTATTTATGTGGCATAGAGTAACAGTCATACTTAGGACACTTGTATCACAGCTGTTTTTAACTCCTTTGCATTCTAGGCATTAAACTCGCTGGGTGTTTGGAAAACTCTATTTGCTGCTGCTCCTGGACCTACGTCAAAGACGTCAGTGGAGTAACGGCCTCACGATGGGAGATCAAGAGGCAGGCGAACCCTTTCTGGGTATAGTGGCTAGTGACTATGAAGGAGTCCTGCCCTCGGACACGGTGTCACTCAGCGATTCCGATTCTGATGACCTTGGGCTGGCGGATGAAGCTGAGGTTGATACAGTATCTCCCGAGGAGCCATCTGCAGATGATGGGGGCTGCCGGTCGGGAGAGACCTCTGACTCTTCAAGCAGCAGCCGTAAATCTCCCGCCCAGCCATTCCACTTGAGAGGCATGAGCTCCACCTTCTCTCTCCGTAGCCAGAGCATTTTTGATTGCCTGGAAGAGGCGGTCAAGCTGTCTGTGCCCTCAATGCCTGAAGATAATGTGGTTGATGGCAGATTTAAACGGCCTTTGCCTCCAACTACTGTTTCAAGTAACAGGCTTCCAGAAAGCCCTGCAAAGCAAAAAAAACCAGTGCAGGCTCCCAAGATCTCTGCTGCTGTCCCTGACTATGTGGCGCATCCGGAGCGCTGGACCAAATACAGCCTAGATGGCGTGTCAGAGTCTAGTGACAAGACTAACAGGGCAGTGGCCATGGAATTTCTAGAGGGTTTGAAGAAAAGAGGAGGGGAGCAAAGCTCAGCTGCCCACGACAGCTACACCCCGTACTTCAACCAGGACCCCTCCAGCTGCGGCGCTGGAAGGATTGTCTTCACCAAACCATCTAAAAGAGGGGTTGATGGACTGGAAAAGAAAACATTGCCAGGAGAGGATGATAAGAAGCATACAAAAACAGATCTGAGAGGAAAATCTCCCAAGAATACTGATGACTTGAGGGAGGAGGATAAGGTGGAGTTGGAGCATTTAGATGGTGCAAGTGGGAACACAGCAGAGGAGGAGGGGTACCTGACGATGGGGGGCCTAAATCAAGAAGGGAAACTTAGTGCAAGGTTTAGTGAGGCAAGTGAAGAGCCGTTGGTGGAAATGGTTGGATTCCACTGCAGTAAGAAGAGGAACAGGAAAAACCTCCGACCTAAAGTAGACCATGAAGAGGAAGAGTCCTAAGGGTGGAGCAAAACTAGAGACATGCAAAGACTTGCACTGTTCGGGGACATTCCCTTTGGATATATTTGCTTTTTGTTAACCCATTTTTTTTGTCAGTGAACCAGGTGATAACTTTTTTATCTAACAGTTTGCATCGTAAGCTCCAATTCCATTTATTCTGTTAAATTAAGCTACCCAAATCTCATTCCAGACTTTTTGTTCTTGACTGTGGGCACAGGATACCCGCACCTTAGCAGGAGAGAAAGTAATGTGCTCTGTTTACTTGAACAGCTCTTGAGCTATGGAAGCCCTGGGCACCAAAGAAAAAAATGTTCGCTTCAAGACTGTGAGGATAACGAACGAAAGTCATCCTGCCCAGCCACGAATGGGAGCTGCACCTTAGTCCCATAGACTCCTGGAACAAATGTGAGGAGCTCATGACATGAGATGCTTTTAAAGAACGGAGAAAAAAACAAAGCACCTCTAGTCTTCCCCAGGATCTCATTTCTCCTGGGCCTGTCCCAGGAAGGAATACCCTCTTTATAATCATTCTTCCTCCAGTGCCATTGAGAGTGACAGCACAGTGTTGCCCAGTCATGAGTTTCCAGGGTACAGGTGGGAGCTGGCAAGCAAGCTGCAGTTTTTAAGGTGGTCTTACTATTTAGGTTATTTAGTAATGTTATATGATAAAGATATATATATATATATATATAAATCTGCAGTAACTCCTGCGTACAAGAACAACCTTGGAAACATCCTGGTGCAGACAGACTCACAGCGGCTCCAGCCAAGTTTCTCTACATTGAGTAGATCAGAATTTGTAACGACTTTGGGTTTGGTAGACAACAACTTTTCCTCTCAGTGGCATGGTGTGGAGGGATGATTTTTGGCTTGTGTTTTTATACATGTGTTCCAGGTGCCACTGCTTCTACATTGACTCCTTGGGAGGGGTTGAATGGAATGAGGGCTTGTACAAGAACTGGATATGTTTTCTCTCTGGGTATTAATAAACTTTCAGTTGTAGCTTGATTTCTACATCTCTTTAAACCATATTGACACGCATGCAACTTCAAAAAGTTTTAACGAATAGTTAGCTTTATTTGAAAATTGTCAAGTCTTTAGAATGTTATTCTTAGCTTGTTCTCTGTTAACTTCCCTCAACTTCTTTTGAGATTCTTAAACTGAAATTTTTAACATTGACATGATTTTATACAGTACAGAGCAGTTTGCTTCACTGAATCACCTGCATTATGAATATCAAATGTAGTAGCTTTTCCCATATAATGCTATAATATAATAAAATGGTTGGTTTTTTTTTTTCATTTTATAAATGAGGCTGCAAGGTTAAATTATTTGAAAGCTTACAGTATTTGAAACTCGTCATTAATTCAGGATTCTGTTGGTACTGACAAACCAGACCCAGTGTTAATACCTGTAATTCCATAATGAGAGATTGCTGCTTTGGAATTTGATTTCTCTTCTAGGCTGCACTGATCAAATTCCTGAGGATATTTGGGGAAGTTATTTTCTCTGTGGGGATGTCAGCATCTGATCAGAAACAGACTTGCAGGCCACTATCATCTGGAGTTTTATTTAACAGGTGCATCATCTATCAGCAGAAAAGAATATAAAACGAGACGGAGCATTCCGTCTTGTGAAATTTACTTTTTAATTGTAAAAATACTATATGTGATCATGAGGCTAGGTTTCCATCCATGCTAATTAATGGGTCATTTCTAAATACATCAGCTGTACCAGCTTCTGTGCATGGGACACAGCAAAAATCCCAAACAGATCATTTTGATTTCCACTAGGTTATAAGTGTGTTGAGCACAGACCAAAAAAGAAAAAAAAAAAAAAAAGGGCAGCTGTTTTGGAAGGGAAGCAGTGGTGAAGTGTGTTTGCCGGTTGCAAGATGTATATTATGTCCTAAATGTAGCTGACTACAAATCTACTGGTTCTGTAACTTCTCCTTCTTAAGGTGAAGAACTTGATACCAAAATTTCGTCATTGTTAATGGGACCACAGAAGTCTGTGGCACAGCTAAACAAATACTTTTTTTTATAAAGACATCATAAAACAGTAATTTCTATTAAAGGGAGATTTATATTTGAAAGGCAGTGTGACTATATCTGTTTTTTCCCCCCATCTCTGCATTGAGATACCTGGTAATGGAGAGAGCAAGTTTTAGTGTAGTTGTGTGTAGCACTGTAAGTGGTACAGTATGTACAAGCAGAACGGTTCAACTGAAGGTAAGGTAAGAAAGACCATAATCCAGTGTTTCCTCCTTTCAGAACTATTTATGTTAGTCCAAAGAAATTTCCCTATAAAGGACAGGAGTTCATTTTATTTACGGATTTTCTCAAAATTTTAATACAGCCAGCTAGCTTTTGTATGCTAGTAAGAACATGCTGGTTACAGAAATACAGCAAATGATAACTCAAAAATCACAGTTTCTAGGAAAACTTTTGCTACATATTCTTGTTTGAAAAATCGCCGTTTAAGTGATTTTGCTAAGTCTTTGAAAGAGAAAGGCAGAATGAAGTCAGAAGAATGAGTGAGATGTAGTTGTGCTGGGAAGTCCTCAGTAGTGTCATGCATTAACAGTTCTTGACATTAAGGTGAGGACAAGTCTCCAGTGCGGATTTTGAAAGTTGGGTCTATGATTTTCATGAGACTAGGATTTTAGTAAGACAGAATTTCAGTAGGACAGAGAACGTCTAATTATCAATGTACATGATGTCCATCTCAGACTGATGTGCACGCTCTTCCCTTTCACCTCTTTTTGGCAGAGGCACTTGAACGTTGGCTTTCAACAGACCTAACGGGATTGTAGAAGCCATGTGTTTGTTAAAGGTGCCAGGACAAGGGACACAAAATAGTAATTACTTGGGAAGCTTTAAAGGGTGAAATTAATCCACAACAAAAAAAATCGACAGCTGTACTCTTTTGCATTTTTTTCAGTGAAGTCAATACAACAGGTTTCTTCTTTATTTTGTCACAATTTAAGTTTCTGTATTAGAATATCTGGACAACATATGCTGCAGGAAGGCTTTTCTTACTGTAATTGTTATAACAGAGCAATTTACATAGGTAGGTAAGCACGTTTACTTAAGCTTTGAACATAATTAAGGGAGTCAAATTTGAGGTTAATGCCACCTTCTCAGATACTGCACATCCTGTTGTAGGACAGAGATGCAATTAGGATCAACTACCTGATCGTGTTTATCAGTCATCTTCACTGTTTCCTATAAGCACTGCTACTTCTTTTTGTTATTTACAGAATATAATAATCTGCATGCTGAGTTAGGATGAAATAAACTGTCTTTTTGGCTTGGCTATGATTCAAGTTTACAGTTAAAATTTTATGCCTAGTTAAGTATATTCGTAATTCCTCTTATGTGTCTGGGAAAATATCAGAATAGCTGGGTTTATATCATATAGTACCTATATGTTCAGTTTACAATTTTGGAGGACTTTGTGATGGATATTAGACAATGGAAGAGATCTTAAATATATATATATTCCCAATATTGAGTCAGATGCTGTGCAGTGATTGAGTAGTTGTCTTTTTGTCTCTAGTTTTTAAAACCCAACTAATGGAGTTTTGGGACCTGGGAGAAGATTCTTATCTTGAAATCATGTATATAATTACAGCTTCACAGGTTTATAAGCTGTGCTGATTAAGTGAAAGTAGGAGGCTTATTCATTTTTTACTGAACAAAACTCAAAACTTCTGATAGTAGTTGGTTATTGACTCAAGAACTCCTCAAGGAAACCTCAAGGAAGCCTGTGATATGTAGATTCTTGCTTATATGCTTGAAAGTTATGTGAGATCATTCTAACCCACAATAACAGCCCTTTCCACAAAGTTCTTCTCTAATATATTTTCCAAAAGTCTTTTATTTTTCCAGCTCTGAAGTATGAATACTGTTCCTTACATAGTTCGTTTTCATGGTTACCCCCTTACATGGTTCATTTTCAATCTTTTTTTTTTTTGTGGGCCCCCTGTTTTTTTTCTTTAACTATATCATTTACTTTATTTATCTTTTCAGTGATGATTTTCAATACTTACATATATCACTTGGAGCTGGTTGGTTGCATAAGAGGTTATTTTGGGTTAAAACATCTGCCATTGAGGAGATAACAGTTGTACAGTAGCGAATCTACAAAATAAGTAGTTGTCTCTACATCAGTTCATTTTTATAGTATTTTAAATTATCCATTCTTAAGCTTGCAAGAAAGTAATCTAGGCAGTAGCATGAAAGAGCATCAGAATTAACATCTATGGCACTTTTAAGAAATAGTTGGAACAATCTCTATTAAATATCTTTCCTTTTTTTTTGGGAGTATACTACATTAACGGGCACAAACTTAAAGCTTAAAACTTGTGTTCCTGTTAAACTTGTATTTGGTGTCAATACCGTTCATTGAATAGCTTGGCTTTTTTTCAGGAAGCCATAAAATGCATTAAGAAGGGAAGGGGAAGCTGCAATGGGAGCATTAAGATAAGCCATTTCCAGCAAGGTCGGAATTACACTGCAGAGGTTTAGATACGAAAAAGACAATAACGGTCGTACATAGCATATGGCAAGGCTGGCTGTTTTCTTGCTGTTTAACAAATTGTTGTTTATATTTCATGGGTTTGTCATCAAAAGCTCAAGATAGGATTTCCTTCTATTATTTATGCTGTGCATTTGTATGGTAGGCATTTCCCTCTGAAATCTTGATATCTGTTATCCAAGAAAATCTGAATTTTGGTTTCCAAGAAAACTAGAAAACTCAAGAAAGTTTAGGTCATGTCAGATTGGACAGACTATGGGTATTTTTGAAATTGTAATTTTTAAGAAATGAAAGGTTAGGTGAAGGGAAAAAATGGAGAGGAAAGAACAAGTATTTACCTCCAGAAAGAGCCACGCTGAAAGAAACAGACCCTGTTCAAGCAGAGCAGCAAAGGAAGCAAGAAATGCTCTCTTACCCTTTCCTCTTTCTTATGGGAGATCAGGGAAGTTTCTTTTTTATCATTATCACCAAGAGAAAGCAATAAGGAAACCAGAGGCATAGTGTGGATCTGTTTTTCCTTCCCTTTATCCTTAAAGAATGT